GAAAATATGAAGAACACGACGCCTACAAGAACGCCCCGCACACGACAAACGGATTATCCAAATCCGAATCGGAAAACGGTTCTGAAAACTAGACAGAACAAGCTACACGTCGGTATGCGGATCGTCTCCAGAATCTTTTTGGTTCGACGGAAATCCTCCCTCTAAGTGGACTGATCGCAGCAGAAAACTGCAGAAACCTACCCAGTTAAAACGATCATAACTCCCTAAATATTCAACCCATTGACGAACGGTTTTCACCCACATCAAGAAAAAGGATTGGAGAACTTACCCACAAAGTTTCACCCCGATCCGACCTGATTTGCCTAGCCGTTCGTCTCCTCCAAAAATCACCTAAACCGAATTAGGATTTCAGAAGACAGGAACGACACACTGACTTTGAAAGCACACCGAGAACGGATAATACCTCAGAATCAGGATCAGAAACCTGATTTAGAAACTAGACAGAGAGCTTTCTACAGATAGGCTGATCGTCTCCTAAGTCGTTCTGGTTCGATCGGAAAGCCTTCCCGAAGCCGACTGATCGCAGCAACAAGTCTGCACAACCCTATCGAGTTCAAACAGCCATAACTCAGCGAATATTCAACTAAATGACGAACGGATTTCGCCCATATCGAGACCAGAGATCGGAGAACTTACCCTCTAAGTTTCACCTCAATCCTCCTCGAATTGCCCAGCCGTTTGCCCTCTCAAACACTCGAACAAAAGCTGTCATTCACCCTCAATCACACACAACTCACAACCTCTCTTGATTCTCTCTCGAATCCTCCTCTTTCTCTGATTTTCGGCCAAAATGAGACCAACACGCGTCTGTTCCAGCCCTTTTATACAAACCCTAGGGTGTCCCCTAAACCGGCAATTCAGAAACCGAAATCGTCGATCTAATTTTACCTCGTGGATCGACACACATGCCCAAAAAATCTTTTTCTGGTTCACGGGTGTTACAATAATAAAATCTTATAAATTTTTTTATATAGAAATCGTAAAATTTTATATATTTGGCTATTAAATGATGAATATAAATACAATATAAATTTTATTAGTTATAAACTATGGTTTTTTATATATTTTATTATATATCTAATATATTATGTATTTTTGTAAAACGCTTAGACCGTTTATTAAATCGCCTAGGCTCCGATTAGGCGTTCTAGGCACTAGGCATTGGATCACAAACCATATAGCTTCACATGATCATTTTCATCAGATTTCAATTTCAGGAACAAACCTCTTCCTATCATCTTTTCTTCCTCAAAATGGGAATGTGAGACAACCACCAAAGTTGCATATCCAAAAGACCAAAAGAACCAAAAAATGCCACAAAACAGAGAAGAGAGCCTGTTAAGTTTTCTACCAAACTATTCTAAGTTCTAACCAAAAGAAGAAGGAAAACAAAAACTGTTCGGTTCTCAATGATACCAACAGCTTCTTCCATGTTGCAATCCACTTCTCAAGAATCTTTAACACCTACTTGTGTTGTTGCCTCTGGGAAGCCACTCTCTGAACCTGCATTACTTTCGACTGCTTCTTTCGCCGTTTCTTCTCTTCTCTCAAACAAATTCGCCAAGAACCCACTCTTTGATGAAGCAGGCTGATCAGGATTTGCTTGACTAGCAATGGCTGAAGCACTCATTTTCTTGTTGCCAAGCTCTAGCTGAAGCTCCTCCGGCACATCATCAAAGGGAGAAGCCAGCTTTTCCTCCACTCCATGAGTTTCACCATCTGCATCCTCCTCATTTCTCGGTCGCTTAGTCTCATTCTGAAAGAGTTCGAGGCTCAGCGTAGAGCTGGATCCCACGGCCTGCTTTTGACTCGTTTCAGGTGCTGAAAAGAAATCAACAAAAGTAGTAGTGCCTTCAGCAGTTGAATCTTTATGTGAAGTAGTAATGATTGTAAATGCTGTCTTACTTGCTGCACAAGCTTCAGATCTCTGGACAGTATGATCCTCTTTGGGTATATCATCACTAGCAAACTGCGGCATCAGAGAAAGGGTTTGGCCTACAGGTTCAGTGAGTTTCTCCTCTGCAAAAGATCCACCAACATCTTTCATCTGTGTATCAGTAGCAAGATTACTCTCATCAATAGTCCCAGAACCAAAACCAGCATCGCCTATTGGATGATTATCGAGCAGCATAGCAGATTGGTTTTTATCAGCGATCAAGTTATCTGTTTGAGGTTCAGAACCGTTGTCATCAGTTTGTTTCCCAGTGTCTTTATTCCCCTGCGGTGGAGTTTGTTGGTTAAAAGATGGAAATGGGATATCTTGTCTTGCATACATCTTGGCTTGGGGAAACAAATCAGTCATTGGGGTAACTGGATTGACTTTATCTGGTAAGAAAACAACGCCTTTCAATTGCCTCTGCGAAGCAGCGACCATTACATTGAGGAAATATCCTGCCTCGAAAGAACCTTCAACCACACCAGAAACAACTTGACCAATCAGATTATCATCAATCGTAGTAGTAACAGGTGGCCTCACTTGTTGCTGAGTCTGGCCTTCATCTCTGCGAGGACGGCCCCTTTTTCGCTTATTTGAAAAAGATGAGCTCGAGCCTTGATTCGATTGGTCCATCTTCTCTGGAATATCCATGGTTTTTTCCACTTCAAAATCTTCTCCTCGATAAAAAAAAGGTCCTCTGAGAACAAAAAAATATATACAAACTATAATCTTTGATTTCATTGGTGTGCTCAACTGCTCAATAGCTACCATTATTTTACAGAAAATGACACAAAAACCAAACCCCAATCATAATCTAATCTGGATAAGTCGACTGCTAAAGAATCTTCAGAACAATCTAACAGTAGTAACGGCAATTCATATAACGCCAAGAGAAGGAAACAAGACCAAATTAGCCTAAAATATCAAGACAAAATGG